TGACGGTCTCGGTGCTGGGGGTGCCCATGGTCAGCAGGCTCCGTGTGAGGGTTGCGCGGGGGTGCCGGGGACGCGCTGGCCGCTCACGCGCTCTCTCCCCGCAGGGCAGGAGGCAGCATGGCCGCCACCGCCGCCGTCAGCCCCAGCGAGTACCTGCAGCCCCCGGCCAGCGCCCAGGTGAGCCCCGCKAGCCCGGGACCGTGGGGCCCGGCGCCAGCCCAGCCCTAACGCGCCCGTCTCCCTCCCGCCCGCAGGACTCGCAGCCGTCTCCGCTGGCCCTGCTCGCAGCCACGTGCAGCAAGATCGGGCCGCCGGCGGTGGAAGCCGCCGTCGCTCCTCCTGCTCCTCCTCAGCCAGCGCCTCGCAAACTTGTCCCCATCAAACCTGCTCCGCTGCCCCTGGGCTCCGGGAAGAACAGCTTTGGGATCCTGTCGTCCAAAGGAAACCTCTTCCAGATCCAGGGCTCTCAGGTTGGCGCCTCCTACCCCGGGGGGCAGCTGGTTTTCGCCATCCAGAACCCGGCAGTGATCAACAAAGGGGCCCGCTCGTCCACGAACATCCAGTACCAGCCCGTGCCCCAGATCCAGGCGGCGGGAGGACAGGCCATCCAAGTGCAGCCCAACCTCCCCAACCAGATCCAGATTATTCCGGGCACGAACCAAGCAATCCTCGCRCCTTCCTCTTCCTCTCACAAGCCCGTGCCCATCAAACCGGCCCCGGCGCAGAAGGGGGCAGCTTCGCCAGCACAGGGCGCGAGCAACGTGGTCAAACTGAGCGGCGGCAGCAACGTGACTCTCACGCTGCCCGTGAACAACCTGGTGAGCGCCGCCGAGCCCGGCGCGCAGGCCCAGCTCGTTGCCGAGAGCCCCTCGAAAGCCAGCAAAAAGCCCCGAAAGAAAGTCATGTCGCCAGCGCAGCCCGTGGCCGTGGCCGAGCAGGTGGAGACGGTGCTCATAGAGACCACGGCGGAGAACATCATCCAGGCGGGCAACAACCTGCTGATCGTGCAGAGCCCGGGCTCGGGGCAGCCGGCCGTGGTGCAGCAGGTRCAGGTGGTGCAGCCCAAGCAGGAGCCGCAGGTGGTGCAGATCCCGCAGCAGGCGCTGCGCGTCGTCCAGGCCGCCTCCGCCACCCTCCCCACCGTCCCCCAGAAATCCAGCCAGAACTTCCAGATCCAGGCGGCGGAGTCCACCCCTACACAGGTAGCCTGTCCCGAGCCCTCCCTGCCCCGGGAGGTCCCTTCTCTGCTCCCTTCAAGCCTTGACCCAGGTTTATCAACCCCGGCGGGTTGTGAGCTGTCAGGGACAGCTCTAGCAGCCAGCTCTCCCGGTTGTGGGGATTCCCTGATGTCTAGGAAGGGTTGGGAACGTCACCATTCCCTCAGTGGGACTTTATTAAGTCTCTGTCCTTTGCTGGTGGCCTCTTTTTGCAGAACTTGCAGGAATGCAGCTACTTTGAAACCTCTGTGGTGCTTCCAGGTTGGGTTGGCATTAGGCCACTGGTTCAGAGGTTCGTGGGAATGGTAGGAGGTGGGAAAGGGCCTGTGCTGCTGGGTGCTTTCAGGTTGGGTTGGCATTAGGCAGCTGGTTGGGAAGCTCTTGGGAATGGCGGGAGGTGGGAAAGGGCTGGTGCTTCCAGGCTGCCTGGTCGGCCCTTTGCAAGCCTGTCTCCGAGGGCCGAGCAGCCCCTTGGTGCTGTGCGAGGCCGGGGCCTTTCCACGGGAGGCCCGGGGATTCCAGGTGCTCGGGCTTCCCTYGGGCTGGTTGCGGGCCCCGGCTCCTGGGCTGCGCAGGGCGGGCGGCTGCCRCAGCCGACGGAGACGTTGTGCCCGGCCTGACTGCTGTCCTCCCACCAGGTCTACTTCAAAACGCCCTCGGGAGAGCTGCAGACCGTGCTGCTCCAGGAGGCCTCGGCCGTGACGGTGGCTCCGTCGGGGACGTCCTGCAGCAGCCCCGTGTCGCGCGGCGCCGGCAGCGGCGCGGCGGGCGGCGCCAAGAAGGCGGCCGCGCGCAAGGAGCGCCCGCTGCCCAAGATCGCGCCCGCCGGCGGCGTCATCAGCCTCAACACGGCGCAGCTGGCGGCCGCGGCGCAGGCCGTGCAGACCATCAACATCAACGGCGTGCAGGTGCAGGGCGTGCCCGTCACCATCACCAACAGCGGAGGTGGGTCGCGGGGAGCCYGCCGGGCTGCGCCTTGCCGCGGGGACGGTGCCGCCGCCTACGCGATCCCTCGCGGCTGCGGCCGAGCGTTAAAGGCCGCCGGTTCCCCCCGCTGCCGTCGCTGCAGGAGGGTGTCGCAGGGTGGCTCTGGCGGCGTCCCCAAGCGTGTCCTGCTAGGCTGTGTCGGTGCGGGCAGGTGACAGAGGCGGCTCCTGGGGCTGTGCTCGCTCCCGTGAATTGCAGGGCAGAGCGGCCGGGTCCAGAGGCCGGGACTGGCTCCGTGTGCTCCCAAGCTCTGCCCAGGGTGGGATSTGTGGGACCCGGCTGTGCTGGGGACGTGGTGCTCCGAGGGGCGCCAGCAGCGAGTCCCGCGGGACATGAGGCCAGCACCAGTGCCCTTGTTGATTCACCTTGCTCCCAGGTGGAAAAGGCTTTGGCTCTGTAACAGCTCACAGGGCGCTGCCGCTCGCCYGGAGCGGAGCCAGCCCCCGGGCTGCTCCGTGGGCCGCGTGTGTCCCTTGAGCTCGTCCTGGGAAAGCCAGACACAGCCGCCAGCCTGTGCTCGGAGGTGTCTGCGAGCCCCGGGCTGCGCCGGGGACGTCACGTCTCCCCTCCTGGCCCTGGCAAACGGCCCTGGGCCCTGCTCGGCCGTCCCCAGCCCACAGGCGGTGGCGTTTGCTGCAGGGAGCCAAGGGAAGGAGGTTGTGTCTGGGAAGCTCCTCTGCTTTCCGATCCAGAAAGACCTGCTGCTCTTCCGTGGCTTCTCTCAGCAAGAACCGCTCGGGTTTGCACTCGGAAGCTCTTTCTTGCTTGCCTGAACCGTGTCAGCACAAAACAYGGGCCGTAGCGCTCCGCAGCAGCCGCTCTCATTGATGGCGCTGCTTTTGAGGGGGGTTTAATTGCTGCTTTGGGCGCGGGCCTGCGACGCGTGTCGGGGAGATGGCACAGGCAGATCCTGCTGCTGCCTGCGCCGCGCGGCCGGGGCTCGGCTCCGGCCTGGGAAGGACCCGTGGCAGCTGGTTGCTGCTGCACAGACGTGATGAGTTGAGGCAGTTCTCGACCTGGCTTTACCCAGGCTGTGCCCACCTCCCGGGCAGGATTGGCAAAGAGCTGCCGGAGGCTCCGCCCGGTGCCTTTTCTCCCGGCGGATGTGGACTCGCTCTTCCCCCGCCCTCGCTCCCTCTTTGCAGCGACCCCCTGCGCTTGCCCGGCTCCCCGTGCTCCTCTTCCCCGCTCCCGCTTGCTGACCCCGTCTTCTTCTTTGCAGCCCCCGTCCCGGCTGCCGGGTGCTGTGCGAGGCCCTGGGGCGGCCCAGGCTGCCGCGTCCGCGAGCGCCCCAGCGTCCAGCGGCCCTTAGGGTCCGGGGTAAGTCCCGTTTTTTTGGTCAATATATTGCACGTTTTTTCAAAGTTTCTTTTTTGTTTCCTCTTTGGTCATTTCCCCACCCCGAAGGGTCGAAGCGAAAACTTTGAAAAACCGCACAGTATATTCAGAAAAAAGGGACTTACCCGCCCCGCGCGGGGGCCAGCACGTGGCGGGGCGCAGGGGCCGTGGCGGGCTGCACGCAGGGCTGGGGGCGCTGGGCTTTACCCAGGGCGGGTCTGCTGGGGGCCAGTCCCACCCCGCRCGAGGACCCTGTGGCCACAGACCCTGGCCAGCCGCGGCGCGAGGACGGGCGGCCGCGTCCCCGGGCAGAGCCTCAACCGCCCCGCTTGTCCCCCTCAGGCCAGCAGCAGCTGACGGTGCAGAACGTGTCCGGCAACAACCTGACCATCAGCGGGCTGAGCCCGACCCAGATCCAGCTGCAGATGGAGCAGGCCCTGGCCGGGGAGCTGCAGCCGGGCGAGAAGAGGCGGCGCATGGCCTGTACCTGCCCCAACTGCAAGGACGGCGAGAAGAGGTGAGYGGCGCGGCGGGGACGGGCTGCCGCCTCCCCTGCCGCGGTGCTGGTGCTCTCCTGGCCCCCGGAGCCTGTCCTGGCACTGTCCTGGAGCCTGTCCTGGCGCCATCCTGGCTCCTGTCACCCAGAGCCTGTCCTGGCCCCTGTCACCTGGTACCTCTCCTGGCGCTATCCTGGCACCTGGAACCTGTCCTGGCACTATCCTGGTGCCTGTCCTAGTGCTGTCCTGGCTCCTGTCACCTGGCCCATGTCCAGGCGCTATCCTGGCCCCCGGAGCCTGTCCTGGCACTGTCCTGGAGCCTGTCCTGGCGCTATCCTGGCACTCGGAAACTGTCCTGGCACTGTCCTGGTGCCTGTCCTGGTGCTATCCTGGCCCCTGGAGCCTGTCCTGGCACTGTCCTGGAGCCTGTCCTGGCCCCTGTCACCTGGTACCTCTCCTGGCGCTATCCTGGTGCCTGTCCTAGTGCTATCCTGGCTCCTGTCACCTGGCCCCTGTCCTGGTGCTATCCTGGCCCCCGGAGCCTGTCCTGGCGCTGTCCTGGAGCCTGTCCTGGCGCTGTCCTGGCGCTGTCCTGGCGCTGTCCTGGCGCTGTCCTGGAGCCTGTCCTGGCCCCTGTCCTGGCCCCTGTCACCTGGTACCTCTCCTGGCGCTATCCTAATGTTATCCTGGTGTCTGTCGTACTACCTGCCCTGTCACCTCTCCTGCCACCCGCCCTGGCAGCTGCTTGTCGCGCAGCTAACGCCCGCCCTGTCGCTCTGCCCCGCTGCAGGCCGGGGGACCAAGGCAAGAAGAAGCACATCTGCCACATCCCCGAGTGCGGGCGCACCTTCCGCAAGACGTCGCTGCTGCGCGCRCACGTGCGCCTGCACACGGGCGAGCGCCCCTTCGTCTGCAACTGGGTGTTCTGCGGCAAGCGCTTCACGCGCTCCGACGAGCTGCAGCGGCACGCGCGCACCCACACAGGTCGGGGCGCGCTCGGGACGCGGGCGGCGCGGGGCGCCCTGCCGCGGCGGGGGGACGGAGCGGCGCCGCGGAAGGGCCCGCGTGCGCGAGCGGTGGCGTCCCCGCGTGTCCCCTCACGGGCGCCGCTCTCCCCGCAGGTGACAAGCGGTTCGAGTGCGCCCAGTGCCAGAAGCGCTTCATGCGGAGCGACCACCTGACGAAGCACTACAAGACCCACCTGGTCACCAAGAACTTGTAGGGGCGGGAGGTGCCGCGCGGGGCCCGGCCGCGCACGCGGGTCCCGCGTGGCCCCGGGGCCCTCGAGGACATGGTCTGGCCCTCCCGCCGCGCAGGAGACCCCTCCTCGGGAGGGCGCGAGGAGCCGACCCTCCCGCCGGGTGCCCCGGGGCCCAGGGCCGCTCCGGAGCCGGCCACGTCCTCGCGGGCACGGAGGCCACGGGGCGCTCCGGGGCGCGCGGGCCGGGAGGCTCCACAGCACATTCCTACTTTATATTTAAAATCTATAAATAGCTATAAATATCTCTATATGAACCCCTTTGGAAGGTCCCTTTTTTCTATGGAGATCGTTGCCTTATGCTCCCTGCTCCTGATGATGAACACTGTGTATTGTGAGTTCTTTTTTTAATCTTTATTTAATTGCTCCCTTTTAAGATGCTGCCCATCCCGCTGCCCCTTTTCTCTTAACGTTTCTTTTCCAATAATGAAGTTTATTTTCTTCTTTTCTCCCCAGTGATTTCTTTCTTTCCTCCTTTTTGTTTCCAAATGATGTGGCATTTCCTTTTGAATCTTGGGACTCTAACCCCCCTTCCCTTCCCTTCCCTTCCCTTCCCTTCCCCCGTGCCGCCCGCCCTCCCCACTGTGTATAGTGTATATTGTATCATAGACTATATTGCTTTTGTGTTTACTACATGTTTAAAAACATATGGCTTGTTATTTTTGAGCTTTTAAATTAAACAGATCCACTTTATTTTTTAGTTGTAACTGCCCGAGGTTGTTTTCTGCAGTACGGGACAGGTCTGCTCCACTCCGTTATCTGTCCCTGGCCGCCGGGGAGGCGGCGGCCGCGCTTCCCGTGCTCCATAAAGGCAGTCGGCGGAGGCGAACGCAGCGCCGCGTGTGCCGCGCGGGGTCTTTTCTCCCGAGCGCGGT